AACACATCCCCGAGTTAAAGACAAATATTGTTCTGGATCAAAGAAACTACGTACAAACCTTACAATTGTTATGAAGAAGGAAATATGTCCAAAAAAAAAGAGGAAACCCCGCATTTGAAAAATAGTGAAATTGCAGCAGTATTAAATTGGAGAGTCAACGGTTAGTGAAATTCTCAAGTCGAAAGATAGGTGGTTAGCAGTTGAATCAATTCAGGCGAACACAAAGCGAGAACGGAAAAGTTATTTTCCTATCATAGAAGAAAGTGTTGCGATGTGGTGCGAGCAAGCGATTTTATTAGCTTTGAAATTCAATAGAGGAACAAATAAATCCCACTTTAACGAATTCACGTGATTATAATGAAAGTTCGTTATGTAGGTACAAGTCCGCTTTAACGAACAGTCCGCATTAACAAAGTTTTTTGGCAGAACGGAACTCTTCGTTAAAGCGGACTTCACTGTGTAGATACCGCCACTTCACAATCATTGTGAGATTTTAGAATTTTCATATTTCCAAGCACAACACTGATATGGTGAAGATCTACACAGACAACTTATAGAGAGAGTTGCACAATACAGCGCGTCTCAAAAAAACCAAAACAAACACGTAAATTTACAGATCTATAATTTTACTAGTTGGATTTCCCTCTCCACCTTGGAAAATTGAAGAGGATTCGCATAAGTATAGAGCCAAGTAGTGGAGCGTCTACTATCTACTACAGTAATTGGAAACACGGAAACATTTCACGGATTACAGCAAACGAAAACTATTTACTTTATTTCACTACTACGTGAACTGTCATCCCAAGTGGAAATACCGATATCTCAGACGCGACGGTTACCGGAACGTGCTGGAACAGCTTGGATATTAGCATTGCTTCCCAAGCACGCTGTTCAAGGGAAAACAGGTATACAGTTGCATAAACTGTACACATGAATGCCACCATTATCATTACGACGTCGGGGCGGTAAAATCCGATTTATCGCGTCAGTCGAGTCAACCAGATGCAAGTTATACGGTGGTGACCAGTCATCTTTTAACATACTTATTGCTAAGTTATGAGCGAGGAAATTATAGTCTCATCACCGCAACCGCCGCGTCAGTTAGGGAAGACCACACGCACGAATAGTGTGCGAAGTTGCAATAGCCCAAAGCCTTAGGAATTGGGATTGGGCGAATTAAAAATCACCGCCGCGAGGAAGGATTCCTCTTGATTTCCACCCAACTCTAATCTACGAAGTTCTCACTAACTATCGGCTGGTGTGGCATTAGGCAGAATCAATGTTTCTCTCGTTTTCATGCTGTTCCATTAACCGTCCTACGCTTCCTACATCATCACACCACCACCACCACCACCACCGCCACCACCATCACCACCACCATGCAGGAGGTTGTTCATATATATACCGAACAAAAGTGATGTTTAATATTACATTGCAAATTCTTATTTCAGCTGTCTGAAGCAAACTTCAGCTGTTCGAACAGCTATTAATATACTGCCATCTGGCTTGCTGCCCCAGAACGGGACAACTTGAGGCATCTGGCAAATTCCCCTGTACTATACAATTAATGGTAATTGTTGTACCATTAGCAAGGCTGTGTATGTAGTAGCCTTAAAAATGATTTTCATGGGAACGTTACATACGTACGTAGATTATCAAAATACCCGTTCAGTATCCACCAACGTAAATATAATATGAACTAAGTGAAGCATGATACTACTAATCATTACAGCATGCTTCGAAGTCTCAGGGACCGACAAACGCCAGAGCCCAAGCCGGGAGTGCAGAAGCGTTGGCCGCCCGCGAACGCCGCAGGATTCCTCACCTATAAGCGACGGTGGTGAGTATCCGAAAGTACGCTGCCACTAGGTGTAAATCGAAGAATCGACTATTATGACACATATGCTCATTTTATTTATTTATTTATTTTGATGTTATTAGCCTGAATGGTGGGGATGGCGGGGCCGACATAATTTTCACCCTTAACAGGGTGGATTTTATCGTGCAGTGCAAGAACATAGCTGCAGGCACGAAGCTCGGTTAGTACAGCACGTCGATTTAAAAGTCGTTAATAATATTACTATTTACATTTCTAAATGTACTTCCCGTAGGTTGAAGAAATCTAGTCTAAGGCTCTGGACCATTCCCCGTCCCCACTTTTCTTTCGCGGTGGAGCAGAAAAACCATGACAAACCAACACACTCAGCAGTCATTTAATAATTGCTGCGCGTTCGGGAGTACGATTATATAATAAAAATGCATCAACCACTCCGCCGTGTCACTGCCAGAAAGGTTTACGATCGAGGAAAGAAGCAGAGGAAGCCACCTCTGGTACAGACAACCAAAGCAGGTGAGCGCCTGTGCGCACACCACTGGGATGGTTGGGGAAGAAAGTAATTTTATAAATTACATTTTGACTCTTTAAATGGCGGGAGATAGCGAATTGTCATAATTGACGTTGTAATTAGCGAAATGCAAAGCCAAAGTTTATAGATTATGTATAACTTTTGTCATGCTTATTACAAAATATGGTTCATTTGTAATATCTTCATTGCATATTATTAATTGATACAGGTTCAATGTATAGTTGTATGTTGTCTTTTTGATGTTGAAATAAATACAAGAATTAAGATATAGTTCTACCATTATTGTCGATTAGCTTGCGAAATATTATCTCTGCTCTGTCCGTTTGAGTATTAATCCGCATTAACCCCTTGCGCATTATTGCCACCGTCGCCTTCTTCCTCATCTTCATCCTCTATGTCTGGTAATGGGAAATTAAGTATGCTAGCAACACCCCCCAATTGATTAAGTTCTATTACGGAATTAAGTTAGAGTTGAGAGTTAACAATATTGTCGGTTTAACAGTATACGGGAGATACGCTTTGTTGACACTTACGCTCACCAGACACGTGTAGACTAGAAAACACTAGCGCTTTCCCACCATGACTACGAACGCTTTCAACAAGCCGGATGTATTTTCTCCTCGTTTGAATATCAGCTGATCTGTGTTAGCAAATGCTTTGTCAGTTTCTGTCGTATTATATTTATACAATTCACAACATTGCTGTTCTCATACCTGAAAAGCTCATCGCTAAGCATCAAAGTTCCAACAGCAGCTCTTTCCTCCGCCTTGTTCACATGATTCCAACCATAAAATGCACGGTCAGGGTCCTCATTTAACATTTTGAAGAATTTATCAAGAGTGGTCATTTCTTGTGCATATTTGGTATCAGCAAGTTGGTTTTGCACTACAGGATCTTGAAGAACTTCTTGGAGAGCGTGTTTATGACCAGACGAGCAATGAATTAGCATGAATTTAGATTTATTTTCCATGAGAACTTTGTCATCGTTTTTCTGAAATTTATGAGAAAAATAGAACTTGTTATGATTAAGACATTGATTTCAATTTGAGGGTTAGAACGTAGAATACTTACCACTGCTTCCGCGTATATGAACTCGAATAGTTGATCCTTTGGAGAAAAAGAAAAGTGCCAAATTTTGGTGAACCATTAGAATGAGATTAGGACAAAGCATCCATTATTAGCTACTCTTGCATCATTATCAACTCACCTTGGTAAATCCTGGACTTGCCAATATAATTACTTTAACAATGTCAAAGTTAACGTGCCGTATAATAGCTTGCATTACTTGTTCGTAGAACTTTTGTAATCCCTGTTGTGTTGTCTCGGTCAAATTCTGCAACAAGTAAATCACGAAACAAGTCGTCTTTGCCATTACGACCGTACCTTTTCATGATTTGTAACTGATCCCCTCCTCTTTCTCGGAATAGATTGTTCGATACGTTGACGTACAAGAGTCATATTCTGCGTGACCAAACATAAATTGGCCAAACCTTTTTTGACGCCCAATGCAAATCGGCAAATTAATGTACGAAAAAAAATGCTAATGAAAAGAATGTTATGATGATTTTACCTTCTTGTAATACTACAGCTGCCACGTCAGCTTGTTTGGTGATATCGCATGCTTCTTCGACTCTTTCTAGGGATATTATATCCCATTCGGGTTTGATAAGAGTAAAGTTGCGATTTAATTCGAGGTCAATGGTGTGATACGCGTTGAGCTGCAAGAAAAATAGGGATCAGGTAAAGCCAGGCGGGGTTAAAATATGAAACACGACATTGATTTTACCTTTACATATTTGTTCTCTACTATGTTTCTACCTTTTATTCTCAGTATTCCGGCTTGTGAATCAAAGTCAATGGTTTCGACCGTGATCGTAAGAGTCGTTCGTACCCTGTGAGATTCGACAGATCCCGTAGCACTCTCGTTTTGAACACGTCTGTGGAAATAAAAACACTTTAGATCTTGGGGCACAAAGAAAAGAGAGAAACGGTTGCAAGTGACTTTTTGAATGCCGGCAAATGTCACCTTATTGTTGTAGCCTTGAGTTGATCTCCAACGGATATCAAGTTGTAGACATGCCACATATCCTCCAATTGTTCGGGATATAGTACGAGATATCCCTAAAGAACGCAATACCAAAGTTTAATATACTAATTGTTATAAGCATACTAGTACTTTTCAAGTGTCTTACCGAACGATCTCTTTCAATATACTTTCTGACCAACTTCATATCGGTAAATGTGTAGGATCCAGTTCATAAGCAACATTAATCTGCACATTTATACGAGGGGCCGATCGATCTGCGGATGGGATTTCATCATCCTAAAAATACAAAAAAAAAGTTGTAACGTAAAAAAATGAGACGAATATTGCAGACAACCCAATGTCGATTTATAGTCAAAACTTGGTTTTCTGCCGACTTTTTTACGTCATCCGAGAATCATCGTTTAATAAAGTCTCTTGGGTTAAAACCATTCAGACATGGCCACTCAATATTTGTTTTCGATGCATTGAGAGAATCATGTCGTTGCGCGAGTACAACACCACCAACACCAACACCAACATCAACATCAACAGCATCTCCATCAAATACCAATGCGGCTAGCAAACCAACAAGTGCCATGCAGCATCGAATGTCTACTCTCAACGCTGGGATAAAATACAAACCAATTCCACCTCTTACGGCTGCGAACCTTGCAAAAGCATATAAAGATCTCGCAAAGGCTAAACTCGCCGCTTTAGTGGTCTTGACAAGTATGTGTGGATATGCCATGGCTCCAGCTGCAACAGATCTTTCTTGTTTGTTTGCAACTACGGTTGGTACCAGTCTTTGCGTCGCATCGGCGAATGCAATAAACCAATGGATTGAATTTCCATATGATGCACAAATGTCGAGAACGCGTAATCGCGTACTTGTGCGTCGTGCATTGACGCCCTTTCATGCCTTTACGTTTGGCACGATTACTGGCATCGCGGGAATAGGCATCTTGACATCTTTTGTAAATCCACTAACAGCATTTTTGGGGGCTGCAAATATTGTATTATATACATGTATATACACACCGTTGAAGCGAGTAGCAATTGTAAACACGTGGCTTGGATCTATCGTTGGTGCCATACCACCAATGATGGGGTGGACGGCGTGCACTAATAGTCTCGACGCCGGAGCTTGGACTTTGGGAGCGCTATTATACGCCTGGCAGTTTCCTCATTTTAACTCACTCGCATGGAATTTGCGGGAGGATTATTCAAAGGCAGGTTATAGAATGATGGCGGTGACCGATCCGGTTTTGAACGCTCGCGTCTCTTTGAGACATAATCTAGCCTTGTTTCCCTTATGTTATTTAGCGCCATACATCGGGATGACTACTTGGTGGTTTGCTTTAGACTCAACAGTGATCAACAGTATTTTGCTCTTAAGAGCTTTTAAATTTTGGTATGATTCTAACGATAGAACAGCGAGGGATTTGTTCTTCGGGAGTCTTATACATTTACCCATAATTCTAGCTTTGATGATGTTTCACAAGAATAATACAGAAACTGAATATTGGATCGAGGTTGAAGAAGATGAGAATGATAAGGGAGAAGAATAACACAAGAGAAAATGATTGGCACACAACTTAAATCGATGAATTTTAAAAAGTGCATAGAAAATAGACTCTGATATGTAATTTATGACGAACAAGTTCCAGTCTACTAACCTTGACTATCTCTCAAGAAAATACTTCTGCAAAAAATTTTGGCTTTTTTTTGAGAGTTGTCAATTTGATACACAAAGACTGTGGCATCTTGGCAAATGAATCGCGGTAAATTTCTGTTGATATAAATGCTTGATACGATTGCCTCCCAGAACCTCTTGGATGTGATCACACCACCGTATTAGGTATGTGGTTTCCTAATAATATTACTAACTTGATATCTGTTCCTTCGTTTAATATTTTATTATCCTGTTATGCGGCGAAGATTGTCTTCCGCGATTAAAATATCTTTCTGTAATGCTATGTACTCCTTGATAATTTCCTCAAACTCAGACCCGAAAGTCTCGTATTTTCCCAAGAGTTCTTCTACTTCACGTAGTTTTATCTGTTTGGATATTTCCTCGACGCGAAGTTTTTCTCTTCAAAGTAGCAAGGACAATCCAATGTTATCTGTCAGAGTCTAACCAGAGCGGTCGTATGCAAAAGAAATCTCACCTGATGGCTTTTAGAGATTCAACCGTGTCCTTATCGTACACAGACAAAAGAGTGTTTATTCGAAGGACCCTAAATATAAAATCTGAGTATACGTACAAGCATGGTAATAGTATGTGTGTATCGCCCACCTTAATTTTAAAATAATGGAATTGACTATTGCGGAAAAATATTCATTAAATCCCTTGTTTTTTTCACATTCGTGACGTAACATAAATTCCTCGAGTAAACACCACAGGGTCTCCAATATATCTTTCGTCACCTAACCGCGTCGAAACATTAAAAGTTAGTTGACTTGTAGCGATAACGCCTACATAAATTTGTTCTCAGATACCTCGAGATACGTTGCTAGTGTCTCTCCCAACCGATAGTAATCGTTGAACTGATCTATCTTAGTAGATTCAATAAGACTTGTTTTCTTTTTCAGTACAATATCAAGTTGGGATGCCTTAGCAAGGCGTAATTTCGGATTAATTTCTAGTTTGCACAAGACATTCTCTCAACATAAGTTCAAACGATCTCTTATAAACCAACTTGAATTATAAAACAATAGTACCTTGTCCAGAATAATGAAGTTTCGCAATATCTTCGCAACGTTTTATTAGTCTCTCTTCGATAGCTTTTATAATTATATCTTTGGAATTCTGATTTCAAAGTCAGTATGCAGCGCATATACACAGGGAGGTGATTCACTTACTAACCTTCACTGTCCCTAACTGTCCTTCTACCTGCTTATAAAGGTCTTTCTCGGTCAAACCAAGTAGAGTCACACCAGAACTGCGCAAGTCGGGATCTCTCGGACGGTATCTTAGTAATTGCCTTGTTTCTGCAAAAGCCAAGACATCTGAAAGGGCCCCCTATAACCTGCAATATATGAGCAAGATATTCATCGTAACAAAATAATCTCTTGTTGCTTACCTGGGTCCGACCGTCTTTGGGTGGTTTAAAGCCTTGCACAGCCAACTTTTGCAATTCATTATACAAGGCCAAATGTTCCAAATAGGTCATCTTTTCCTCTGTAAAATCGTTCTTTATTGGAAGATATCTGTGTGCGTTAACTGGAATTATACTAACTAAGAATTCAATTGAATTAGCTTGCTTTATAACGCTACCACATCAGTCTCTTCCAAAGCTTTGGTCCGGCCGTCTGGAGTTAGGTAGCGCGTTATGATCTGTTTGTGCAGTTCAGCAAAATTTGGGTTGGCGGACAAAATAGACTGCGGGACATGTCCTAACATTTTAGATTCGTCTTGTCGTGAACGCGAAGAGAATATCAGCAAAAGGGTTGTGGCACGCGAATACAGTAAATCCCGTGATTTCTCAATTTTTCAATTGTATCACGATTAATTGCTTAGTAGAAAAGATAAAAAAAGAAAATCAAAGATCGTCTGCCTTACCCTCCTAGAAACCCTTAAGACCTCTAGGAATAGATGGTCGATGACGGTATATAGCATATGATCTCTTCGTTTCGTTTATCATTATGAAACCCGACTTTCGACTTTCCTACAAAATAGGAACTGCTCAAACCGAAGTTTCACTTACAAGAAAAGAAGACACACCAAGGATCGAAAAGATTGATGAATTAGAATGGAAAACTGAAGTGCTCATTGGTTTTATGAGAAAGACAATTTAGAGATACTCCGTAAACAGAAGATTGATGGTGAAGTCTTCCTCAGATTGAGTAAAGAACGGCTCGAAATATGGGGAATGGCGGGTGGGCCAGCGAAAAAAAAATCATAGACCTAGTAAAGAGCATCAAAGAGATCATATTCGTCCTGTAGGCAATTTGCACCACGTAAGGCTTTCATGTAATAATCAGCTTGATAGATTCACACGTTTTTATAACGTCGGCGCAATTGATATGATATTATGCTAATAAAATAATATTTCCAACAATTATTAAAATGTTTCTTTCTTAGTGCTGGATCGGTGCTGGATCGGTGCCGTATGCTGCGAATGTTACATCATTGATTGTGGGCAGATTAAAACGAAATTTGGGATCCTCTTTTAATGTCTCTGAACCCACATATACTCATCTATTAATAAAAGTTACCCTAAATCCCAACCACCCCCCCCAAAAAAATAAATAAATAAATAAATAAATATAAAAATAAAAATAAAATAAATAAAATAAAATTTGGAATTTTAATTCAGATCAGATTAGCTTATCAGTTGTCATGGTTCGTCCACTACAGTCGCCTCCCATACAGTCACACCCTCGGGAATGACCAAAACCAGTGACTCTAAGGAGGGTGACTGTATGGGAGGTCGACTATAGTCATGTGATATATAGACATAATGTAAAATTTTTTCGAATATTTAGTATACTAATATTTATTTAATATTAGCCTGGTACAAATTATGACTCTATGATCTAATGCAAGCGTTATAAGGCGCTAGCCTCTGTTACCTTGCTGTACACCTTTAGCGTTCAATCGTAGGTGTAGACAATAAAAGAACGCAAAACTCCTCTGTTACCTTGCTACGCCAAAATTATGACTCTATGATCTAATGCAGGCGTTATAAGGCGCTAGCCTTACCTTTCTAGCAAAAAATTGTTACACAATCGATGTACTGTACTGACTGACTATTAGTAACGAAAAACGAACCAGTTTTATATTATTTAGATGGAGAATTTGCACCAACACGTGGGTTTGTACGTGAAGAATTAATGCTAATTAATTTAGAAAAGCTTCAATATCCGCCTCAAAGTATATTAGAAGAAAACACTTGTTCCAGATCAATTAATTTTATTCGTGTAGTTAATAAAATGGCCAAGGTTCAACAATTTGCCGAAAAGCGTGGCGGAAAATGTCTAGGTGAAACTGGTCATATAAATGGCCTAAACGTATATCTCTGGTCCTGTGAAAACGGAAAGCATCAGTTTGAGTATCCATATCCATTAATAGCTACGAAATTTGAATGGTGTCCTTTATGCCATCATACCACTGAGAGAAACGTAAGATATATCTTTGAGGATCTATTAGGTAAGAAATTTCCACCATGCAGAGCTAAGTTCTTAGATGGGTTACACTTGGATGGATATAATGAGGAATTGCGACTTGCATTTGAATTCCAGGGCATTCAACACTACCATCATAATAGTTTATATCACAAAAATCAAGATGATCTAGAGGATCAAATTTCACGCGATCAAAAAAAGCGAGAGATATGTGTTCGAGAGGGTATAGATCTTATTGTAATTGTGATTTGCTACCATATATAAAAAGTGAATTGCAAAAGAAAGGTTATTAGTTTATTCGGAATGAAAGAAGAAAAAATGCCCATATTTGTATACAATATCGATAAAATATCAAACAAATCCCCAGAACGAATGAAATCTAACAAATATGCCCCCGACTGGCCTTTTAGACTCCTCGTGATAGGTGGCTCCAATAGCGGAAAAACCAATATGGTAATTAATCTTATGCTAGGTAATAAATTACAACGATTGTTTAAAGGTAAGAAAGGCAATCGTTATATCAAAAACGATGATCTCGTATTAATAGGCAAGCATTTTGAGCCGAAATGGCAACTTGTACAAAATGGCTTTCAGATCTTTGCGAATGCGCCTAAACCATATCGAGAAGATGTCACATTCAAAAGGATATCTCCAGATAAAATTCCAGATATAACTAAATTCTCTCCAGAGCGAAGTACAATTGTTGTATTTGAGGATCTATGCGCCGAATCGAAAAAGGTGCAAGAACGAATTATTCCTTATTTCATTAGTGGTCGGCATCAAAATATCTCTCCAATATATGTATCACAGAAATATACACAAACACCTAAAATTATTCGTGAAAATATCTCACACTTAGCCCTATTCCGAGGAAGTGGATCTAGAGACAACATTCATAGAATCGTGCGACAATATACGGGTAATCCGAAAAAAGCATCTAAGATTATTGATAAGCATTTGCGGGATCGAGAATTCGTGGTTTTTGATTTTACTAAGCCAGTTGATGATCCTTTAGCAATTAGACTGGGCTGGGATTCCATTTTAAACCTTTCTGATCAAATATAAAATGAAAACCAAATACTCTATAAAAGATGCTTGTAAAATTGCTATAGAACGAAATGGCTTGTGTCTTTCGGATAGATACATTAATTGCAATACATCTTTATTGTGGAAATGTGCTAAAGGTCATGAATGGATGGCTCCCTTTCACAGGATTAAAAATGCTAGAAAATGGTGCCTACATTGCTCAAAAAATAAATCTTACACTCTTAACGATGCTAAACGGGTTGCAAATAATAAAAATGGCTTTCAGAAAATTATATTAATAGTATATTACCACTATGGTGGAGATGCGCTGAAGGACATGAATGGTATTCAGCACTTAGAAACGTAAAATATTGTAATACTTGGTGTCCAGATTTCGCACATAGTAGACCTCTTACTCTTGAAGAAGCTAAACAAATTGCACATAGCAGGAATGGTGAGTGTCTTTCTACGATATTTGTTAATGTTCGTTCATCTTTGTTGTGGAAATGTGCTAAAGGGTATAAGTGGAGTCTTAGTCTTTCAAGTATAAAATATTGTAATAGTTGGTGCCCATATTGTGCGGGTACAAAACGTCTTACTCTTGAAGAAGCTAAACAAATTGCAAGAATGGCGAGTGTCTTTCTGAGATATTTGTTAATATTTGTTCACCCTTATTGTGGAAATGTGCTAAAGGACATAAATGGCATTCAACACTTAAAATCGTTAAAAATAGTAACTCCTGGTGTCCATTTTGTCGTTTAC